AAACACCCCTTGAATGATCCCAATCATGCGGAAATTCCCTGAGGGGGAAGGGATTACAGTGGCGGACACCCAGTTAGAATATGAAAAATTAAGATTTATTAAATAAAAAATTACAGAACATAGTAGTCCCGAACGCTGATTTTATTTGAAATTTAAGATGAGGCCATTTAGCACTTAGAATATGAAAAATGCAGTTAGAATATGGAAAAATATCCAAGAACCAATGATTTCTTGATTTTTGCTACGATGGCATGCACTTAGAATATCCCTAAAAATCATGATTATTCAAAAAATCATTAAAAAAAACAATATATGATCTAATATTGTATGGAAAAGTCATCAAACCAGCATTAGAGAGAAAAAACAATTGGTTATGACGAAAGCTGAAGATAAGTGCTGAGACGTATTGCATAATAATGGTTATCTATTGTTACGGAAATGTTATTTTGCATATTCTATCTGCATTTATGGTGATTCGTATTGCAAAATAGTGGTTATTTATTTTTGCTGAAATGATTATTTTTGCATATTCTATCTGCATTATTAAAGGTGATATTCTAACTGCTATCTGAACCAAATAAAATCTCTAAAAAACCATATTCTATCTTATTCAAATAATTTATAATATTCTAAGTGGTAGTCCGCTATAGTAATCCATCTGCAGATGGAGTAGGTTGGTCAAGGTAAGCCCCCCACGAAATCGCGACACGTTGACGCACATCACTGGGTGAATTCTATGGTTGGTTGGGATTGATTGGGGGGGTATTGGGTTTATAAACCAACAAACATAACAGGTGGGCCTCATCTTGTAGCTATAATCCATCTGTACATGTGATAACCCTCTTTTAGGGGATTTGCGACCCAGGGCCCAAAAAAAAAAAGCACTTTCTAAGTGGGATGATCATCCGAGGAGGTTTTGAGTCGATGAAATTCTATTTGCAATTCTGTTGGTACTATGATTTGCTAATGGTTGAGAGTGGTTGGCAAAAGTAGATGTCGTACCTGGCGCAGTTGAGGGATTTCTTTGAAGCATCACCAAGTCTGGGAGATGATTTCCCATGGTTTGACCAGGAAAGAAGCATCGCAGCCAAAGGTCAAGAAAGAGGAGAAAAGCAGCCAGAAGCAACTCGGTGGCCAAAAAGATCCATCAAAATCCCCAACAAAGAGATGCCGTCCACAAAGCGTTCAGTTGGGCTCAAAATGACCGCTATCACCACACAAACATATCAGAAGTAGATTCATAAGTCAATCATAAGTCAACCACCAGACCCCTGTTTGGAACAATATGAAAGAGAGATATGAACATACAATTATCAGATGGATTCAGACAAGTTCACAAAACAGCCAGAAACCCAAGATTTGTAGGTAAATCCTTTAAGATCCTCTAGCTTTCATAGGTTAACTATGGCCCAGACCCAGACTTTTTGACTGATCCCGAGGCCCTCCCAGCGCGTAGCCACACCCTGCCGCGTGGCGCCGACACCAACCCCGGCGCGGTCGTCGACCGCACCGGTGCAAGCGACGCAGTCGACACAGGCGACAAGTACGGTGCCTTGCTTGACCTCCCCGCATCCCGGAACAATGGTCACAGTTGTGGCCCTTAACACTTCTAAATGGGTTCAAAAGTCCTGCAACTAAGGTATACTAAGGTTATATATCATACACTTAAACGAGGTTATGAGCCAGTTATGACCTGTTAAGGAGTCTAACTGCAGGATTAGGGTTGCCTAGCCCGAAATAGCGGATTTGTCTGCTTGGTGAAAATTAACTTCTGATGATTTATCCAGAATGTTTGTTTCACCGGCAAAGAATTTGCGTTTTACCAGCAATAGATGGGAATATGATGTATATAATCAGTTTTGATCAATTCAAACAGCCTGGTGGTGTCAAGTATGATGTTTTGATCCCATATGCTGGGATGATGGTGACTTTCATATTTATATGATGGGCCTGAAACCACGAGGCAGCCCGCCTTCCCACACTTTGCAGAGCTTCAAATGGCTTAAACATCACTTTTGGCAGGTGAAATAGTGGCAAAAACACTTCCAAAGTGCAGGTGAAGTTGCAGAGGTGAGTATAACTTTGAAGCTGGTTGAAAAGGGCTGGCCTCTGGAACTTCAGCAGCTTTCTGTTCACAAATTCATTTCCATCGTAGTTTGATAGAACTAATCCCATCCCCCGTTCATATTAAACATCTCCATTCGGCCTCAAAGATGTGCTTTCATCCCCTAAACCATTTGCATAGACTCTACTAATTCACTAACCGATCACTAACCTTCAATATTTCATGATATTTCACCCCCATTAAATTGGTCCCAAAGCTGTGTCAATTTCAGTGCCATCCCTTGAGGCTTCCAAGGCTCCAGCCTCGAGACCTTCCACGCCCTCGCCCACGGAAGATGAAGCGCCGGTGTCGGAAGTGGAACGGAAACTTCGGGCCCCTTGGATCATGGTTGATGGGCAATAACGGTTGTTCGTGGTTAATAATGATAACTAATGGATATTAATAGTTAATGGTGCTTATGAATGGTTAATAATGATGAAGAATGTCAATGAAGCAGGTCAATAATGGTAAATAGTGGTTAATAATGATACTTAATTGTGCTTATTAATGGTTAATGATGATGATTAATCTTAGTAAAGCAACAATACACCACCCGTATTTTGACGGTTTATACCACCCATTTATGTGAGATTGGGGATGGATTACTACTGCCTTACTAACATTAGTGTAATCATACTACTCCTGGAGCATTCTCAACCATATCAACAATGTTGTGGTTGATGTCAGTTTATTTAACGGTATGCCATGTTACCACCTACTGCATCCTACTGGCAGCAGGGCTTGAAATATTTAGATAGATAGATAGATAGCTAGCTAGCTAGATAGATAGATAGAGAGAGATAGATAGATAGATAGATAGATAAAATAAGAAAAGATAAGATTAGATATGATTAGATTAGATAGATAGGTAGATAGGTAGATAGATAGATAGATATAGTATTTTTAACTATACATAAATATTTTTTTATATACATGTAGCTGCATATAGCGTACATACATTCACCTGAAGTGGGAGGTGAAGCCACGCATGCGGAAGACCATGACTTTTGGACCAAGGTGAGGCCCTCTTGATTATGTTTGTTGGTTTATCAACCCCATTCACCTGCAGTGAAATATCACCCATAAACCATTATTAACCTACTTATGTGCGTCAACTTAGGGTAAACAGTGGCCTCACCTTTACCTCAACAATTGGTAGGGTAGGCTGGTTGTCTGGGATACCTTGGTTTCCTCAGATTTGGTTGACTCACGGGAAGAATTTCGCAGATGCAAGCGATGCCGGAATCGACTTGAAGGAAAACTTCGGCTCTTTACAAGTTAAGAATGGTTAAAGAGGCATCATGCAATTGAAATTACCATTGGTGCCAGATGCCAAAGACATGTTTGCAGGTTTAGAATCCCAAGCTTTTTGCAAACTGCCACCCTGAATCCCAGCGTAGCTGTTTTACTCAAGCCCACGTTGCCGGTGCCGGCTACACCTGGGATGACTGCCAGGAGAAAACTGGAGTTTGTTATCCAGACGTGGACGCGCGTGAAGGGAACCAACCATTCATTTTTTTCTCACCGCAATTCAAATGTCAAAATACACATGTTATCACATGTTTATTGGCTGAAAACTTTGTGCTCAGGATTTTTCAGGGATTAAGCACAACATTTGTTGGTCATTGCTTGTATATAGTGAGAATGGGTTAAAGGCTGTTAAAGGTTGAAAGATACCCTTCAACTCTATGGGCCATGGTGGCTGTTCCAGTCAAATCCCCCACTTTGGGAGGTTCCGACCTCCGTGGTTGAAAAAGATGAAGGCTCCCATGTCGATTTCCACTTGGGAACGCATGTGTCATCGGAACTTGACATCAAGTGGTTCATACATGAAATTATTTAAATTCAAGCATGATGTCATTGGACTGTGACATTGCGATGAAGACCGGTCTTGCTTTGGAATGTGGAGCAGCATGTCTACTGTCTACAGTGATGTTTCGTGATCAAAATAACTGGGTCCAAACAAGTGTCGCGAACCAATGGCATGTCATGCTCTGTTTGAAGAAACCTATGGTTGAATGGACCACTCCTTTAAATTTTTGCACACTTAGGAGATACTGTGGCTGGTTGCGAAATCCTGCGCCAGCTGGTAGATTGTTTATGCCACTATTGTCCTAGTGTTTCAGAAGAACCCCAATAGTTCCCAAGATCCACAGTAGCTATGGAAAATTGCCAAAAGTTTGGGTTTTTTCCCTTTTGAATCCCGTGAAAAATGGTGCCTTTCCATAGGCATAACATGCTGCTGGGTCAGGATGCGAAGCCTCCAGTGGATGCTGATGACCTGCGGTGCCTCGCTCCAGTGGGTTCATGCTGGCTCCGAGCTGTGTCTTTGGGTCAAATGATGGGATGTAACTCTGTGAAATGGGGAAAGTATCTGAGAGTATTCCTGTCGGTTGAAACCATTTGTACCTCAGGATCGCTAGCTAGAGATCTTTCTGATTGGTGGTTAGGTCTTTTGGGGTATTTCACTTTTGGTGGGTCAAGTTTCGTTGGCTTGGCCTCTAGGTCTCGTACTTTTTTGACTCCGCTGGAACTAGATGACGAGGAACAAAATCCCAAAGGTTCACGTTCATATTGGAAATGGCCATTTTTAGGTTTTCATATTCGATCTTTGGTGGCAGTCCCAGATGCCAACCCCATTGATTGAATGTGTTTGATCCTTACGAATCTTCGCAAATGGATCATTTCATAATTATATGACTCCCATTGATTACACTCGCTAAATTACGATCACCCGTTCTATCATAAATTTAGCATGGAACATCATGGAACACAACGACTGGCCATATTCAATAGAAAATGCATTTACGACATTTTTGGGGTTCCAAGTTTGAATTTAGGTGGTTTGTTGGTAATATTCCCTTCAATCCCCAGCACCAAGCGCCTAGGGCTGGCTATGGGAGAGGATCAATGTCAGTCGATCTCCGTAGACGAGCCCTGGTCTGTTGGATAATACTTTTTTCGGTGGTGAGGGGGAAGCTAAACGGCTATGGAAATCTATATTCCCAATAGGATATGTGGAGCCAGTTGGAGCTACGAATTGAGTTTACCGACCACATGATAGAGGATTCCAAATGGATATAGATAGGCTCTTTCATAGTGCCCGCTTATATATTACCAAAAGGCATATGTCCCATGTTGTTGGTTGCAGCCTGGTCGCCCACATTTTGCTGTCATAAATCAAGAAGGGAGACCCCCCTTTGGTCAGCACAAGGACTATGACCGGTGGTCTTTCCTCGGCCAGGAACGCGTGGATTGCCTTCAGATGCACCAGGACCCGTGCGAATCAGCAGGTTGCTGCTGGGGCCCGGTGGAGAGACCTTCAGGAGCAAATCCACCCTGGTGTTTTTACAAGGATCGCGACTCGGCTTTTCCCAGTAAACCATGGCCATTTGGGGGGATACCACATTTTCAGAAAAACCCATATGGCATTTGGCTTTTGAATTGTCATGTGTATATATTATATACGTAATTATATATATAGCAATATATCATATGTAGCGGTGGCAACAATAGTGATAAAATACATTTGGGGTTTATATAACCACCCTCGCAGCGACCCCCCCAATGATAAATGGTTAAGATTCACCCTTTGGGGGTGGTTGGCTGGATCCTCTTGGCTGGAAGAACATCCCCCCTCCAACTTGGGTTTGTTTAAAATGGAGAATTCACCCCCATGGCCATTAAGTATCATTAAATATCTTTAAGTAATGATGAACATGAAGTCTCAAACCATCAAAGTTGAGGCCACTTCCTAGTAAGCATGGCAATGGTTCGGTGAGTCCCCCATTTCCCGTGGTTGAGCCATCGAATATTGGTAAGTATAGTGTTGACCTTCGCCACTGCCTCTTTGATAACCTTTGCTTCAAACCCGTTGCCGTAATTTCCCAGGAAAGATGCTCAATTGCACCCTGGGCGCAGATCCCAAGCGTCCTTTTTCAGATGCTGAGCTGGACCAGGCTGGGATGGGTGGACGCGCAGCGCTGCTGAACAACTAATTGCGGTCAGAAACACAGTGGCACCTATGGTAAGTTTCCCTCATGATTCATGAACATGGACCATGGCTTCCAAGCGCACATAAGCGCACCTGTTTGCCACTATCAGCTAGATGTTTGAAGAGTTGAACACAGTGCCGCCCCCTTGGTGCCCCATGTTAGGTCACCCAACTTGCGAGGAAACATTTTTGTGGGGATGGGTCAAAACCATATTTTTCCATAGACTTTTGCCATATTTGGAGAGATGAACCAGATGAACATCCCAGCTATCCCAGCGATTTTGGGGTTCACCATGGTTCCATGATGAGGTGATGAAGCTCTTCGAGCTGAATCTGGATGTGCAGGGCACTGGTCAGGTCGTTGCCTCGCCTGATCACAACACTGGGCCTGGAGGACGGAGCTGGGGCTGGAAGATCTGGCTTGGCAAAGCTCGGAAGATGCCTTGGAAAGCGGAAGATGATTTTGGTCAGTTTCGTGGGTTTCGTGTGTCCATAATTTTGCCTTCATATTTGGTGTTGCTTTGTGCATGTTATTCTTTCTGTCCACACCCATTGAACACAGTTCGTTTTGCATCAGCTCCAGCTTCCCGTTCTGCACTACCTCCAGGAGATTACTACTTTGCATGGGCCAGGGATGGGGCGTTGAGTATGAATGCCTACCTTCAAACCAAGCCCTTCCCACAGTCGGATGAGAAGATGGAGAAATGGATCCAGTCGCTGGAGAAGGCGCAACATGAGAGCGATCCCAATGGCATCAACGTGCCTTGGCCGATGCGGAGAATGTGGGATGGCCAAAAAGAGCTAGCAGGATGGGTCAGTTTCAGGGATTTGTTTGTTGCGCAGTCATTTCAGAGAATGTAAAATGTCCACTGACTCTAGTTTTATGATGGGAATGATGTTTGATGATGGGAATGATGGGAATGATGGAAGCCATCCCCACAGATGAAGATGTCCCCTGATGTCGCCCTAATTTTCGTCATCCCAGGTGCTGGTTGAGCCTAAGTTCCTGATCCCCGAGGGCACGCCTTTCACGGGCGCCTGGTGTCGTCCACAAAACGACGCTCCCGGGCTTCGGGCCATCACCGCCATGTCCTACGCGGCCAAGAAACCCAGCGTGAACGAAAGGGTTTGGAGCCTCGTGAAGCAGAACTTGGATGCCAGGTAGCACTTGGATGCACTTGGTGACTGGGATTCCAGAGGATAGCACTTTCCTTCCAAAAATAGGTGGATAAGTGTATAAGATCTATAGGATCTACAAGCAACATACATTTGGATACATTTGGACATTGTTGAACTGGCAGCTTAGACCAATGCTACCCCGGCTACCCCGGCCCCAGCCAGAAAGCTGGACTGCCAAGTCATTTTCCATGGGAATTGAAGTCAGCCGAACAATTTTTTCCGACCCCCCATGCCCTCCCCAGATTCAGAAAGTTTTCCAGGATTGGGTAGTGGCCAACTATTCCAGCTCCACTTGCGACCTTTGGGAGGAGGTTCGTTCGGAGGATTTCTTCTGGAACCGCTACAGCATGCGCAGCTCGGTGCGCTTCGAAGGAAATGTTGGGATGATAGTCACCCAACTCGAGTACTTTCCTTGCTGGACTTGCTGAAGATGCCATGATGCCACTTTTTTGGAACACCCTAGATTGATAGATTGGAAGGATCACGGTTCTTAGGGTTAGATTACTTGGATTCGATTCGGATGTAGATACTGCAGGGGATGGTTGTTGAACTGTCGCTTTACAGACACAGATCGGCCAGAGGATGGCGGATGGCCTGACGCCACAACCGCATCACCTTGGTATTCTTAAAGTATCTTAAAGCTATCCTTGGTTACCCTGGGGTAAACTAACAAACAGATGTTGAACACCCATAGTTTTCCGTTCGGACAATATCTACATTCATGGTGAATGTTCATGGGTTTTCCACACCTCGGTTATGTTGCCGGATACGAATTCCCCCATATTTTTCCATTGTCCGTTTATCCCCATGATGCAGAATATTAATAATAACTCATAATATGTATGAGTTCAGGTTTTCATGGCTGGCTTTTTTCCATCACCAACCTCAGTTTCAGTGGCTAGGCAAGGCCTTGCTGATGGGCTCTGACTTTGCGAAAACCGTTGGCAGCTTGGAAGCCGATCTCTCTTGACCCTCCACCAAATTAACATAGATCCTGAAATTAGACACTGTTTGGTGCCCCCATTTGGCAGTGTATGATATGTTAATTTCGGGGAGTGTACTGGTTGCTTACTGTGAAACAGAAAGTACTTCTTTCCACAATTTGCCTTTCTCGGTGTATGCAAAGGGTATGACCTACAAGCTGGAGCAATACAAACCATGCTCTTAAAGCCATTTTTGGTTGCAAGTATCAAAACCCATGGATGCTTTCCGTTTTCTATACAGCCACAAAAGAGGATATACTAGTGGATGTAACTATAACCATCATCGCTAGGGATATGGCGTTGGCTTCACACATGTTTCATCCAGGGATTGGATGAGGATGCGCAGTGGCAGTTGCAGTTATGAAAACAAAAATACAAAAGAAAGAAACAACATAAAATCTATAAATAGATAAATGAACAGAACGAAATCAAGCAAGAAATCTGAAAGAACATTTGAGTTTGGGTTTGTTTTTTGAGTTGTTGTGGTTCAATTTGTTGATGTTTTTCATTGTTTACTCTATTTTGGCCCGTGTGGGGTTTAGGGTTGTGCCATGTACAGCCCCGTCCGAGGCAAAGATCAAGGAAGAGCCCATCAATACCAACAAGCAGCCCAGGCGGTCACTCAGATGTTGTCTCAGCATGTCATCAATGAGACTCGGCTCATGGAGAGCAGTGGGACGGCCTGATTCATGGCAGAATGATTCATTGTTGCAAGATTCCAGGTGAATGATAGGTTTGGGGATGGTTTCCTGGGACTTGAGATTGTTGTACGGTCAGAAAGGATCACGTTTTGACGAGTTTTGAGGCTGCACAAAAAGTGCCCACAAAGTGGCAATCCCTTAGCCCTAATACTAGGATTAAACAGTTAAAACAAAACCAAGAAGATAGTTTAGTGTTGGATCATTTGCTTGGTTTGAACTAAGGAGCTATGGGTATCCGATGGTATCCGACTTCCCTGTTAAACCGGGAAACCAATGGGCTATTAAGAGTTTCCAACGTTTTTTATAGATGTTTAAGAAAATGCCACCATGTTGCGGACTAAGGACTATGTCATCGAGTCGAACAATCGTCAGAAGGACACTGCGGTTATCGAAGCCTTCAATGTGGGCGACATGGAGGATGCTTGGTCCAATCACGTTCTGTTTTGCAATGTTTTGCATCAAAAATTAGAGCTGGGAAGAAGATAAGCCTTTTTTATTCCATGTAGGAAGAATAGGTGCTTTCCGAGCTGCGGTTTCTTAATTTCTATCAACCTAGAATTCTTGAGAACCGAAACCTTGGCTGATCACGCCAGTAAACTACCGTAATTGTTTTTGAAATGTGAACTCATATCATCCCAACCAACTCATATCATCCATCAAAATCCCTGAGAATCCCATCAACCGTTGATTCCCCACTTGATCCCCACGTTACCCGAGGATGGCTTGTTTGCACCCTTGAGCAAGGAGGCCGTCACCACCCTGGCGGGCCTGAGTCAATTGTGGCCCCATCCTTTGCTTAGCTTGGAGGATCATCTCACTTCATGGGATTCATGGGATTTATTGGGATATATATATATATGGATATATCATGAATATCAATGGTGATATATCATGGACATTTTAATGGTTCATGATGGTAACTGATTGTTAATAATTATCTTTATTTTCCGAATGGGAAATCCACTACTTAGGGAATCTTTGTTGGGAATCTTGTTGTTTTTTTGGGAGGTCCTTAAGCAAATCCAAGTTAGAGCATGGTTTTTGTTGCCGGCTGTGAGTAACCAAAACCTAGAGTTGTTCCATATTTTGGGGTGGTGAACTCAAAGAAAACAGCTATTTGTGTGGGGTTTGCTAGAATACAAGGATCTTGACACATACCGAGTTGACAGGAATGATGGGTTACCAAGGGATTTAGAACCAAAAATGGTGATCAACTTGTGGTACATATTATGCATATTTGTAAATGCATATATATATATATACACATTTGTGTGCGTGTTGACGATGTGAAAGAACTGGCAATATTACTGTATATGACTGGTTGGTGTTTTCAAACAGGTTCTATGTTCAACCCTACTGGATCATGATCACCAGCAAAAAAATATAGAGAGAATGTCACGGATGAACTTTGCGACAGGGGGGTAAAAGTCAATGACAGTTCTCTATGGGGGTGGTTGCTGCAATTTAGCGCGGAAGTTGGGACTTCGGTCGTTCACAATCCAACAGAGAAAACATCAGAAATGATTCGGTCGTGTTGTCAGTGATCGTTTATCAGATAGACAGGTTCCAACGGCAATGGATACCCTCTGGTAAATTAACATAACTATGGAAATTCACATTTTTAATGGGAAAAACCACTATAAATGGCAATTTTCCATAGCTATGTTAGTTTACCAGAGGGTATGTTCTTGCTTCCTCCAATGTTTGTTCCAATGTTCCACCCAGCCACCTGAACCTCAGCGCTCTCTGAAGAGGCCCAAAGAAATATATGGCGATTGGGGCAGTCAGTGTAAACCCCCCAAAATTGGATGGTTTCGTAAACTTTAAAGAACGGTTCGTTGGCCCAAAACAAAATGGTCATGTGAAGGCAACTATTATTTATTGCATATAGATACATATAATATTCCTAGTAGTGCTGTTTAATTGATGATTTTACAATCCCAAAAAAAATGATCCGAGCTTCTAAGTCTATCCTTCTGCAACCGAGGTACTGCAGGAGCTTCGCTATCAATCAGCAGGCGGCCCAAAGTGGTGTACCCGGAGTGCTGTTTGGGCGTTACGAGGGGGACAGCTACGACGGCGGATGCCCGGCCGCAAAATCTGATGATAGGGATGATCAGGGATGGCCATGCAACAGGTGACCTCCCTTGTCGATTAGTTCGGGGAATTTACGAACAAATAAATTAGGGAATATATATAGATGAATATAGGGAATCCTTCTCCAAACTAAGCAGTATGCTTAGGGACGACACAAGGTCTGAACACTGCTCATATGTTTCTTCACACATATTTTGTGGCACCGAAACTGCTCATATTTCGCCGGAGTTCATTTCCATCCGAGTTTGGTTTCGGTTTGTTCCAGCGATTCCTACTGCTTTCATGGCCAGTGCTCCCCGCTCGCAGGAAATCCCTGGGTCCTGCTGACGGCCTCCGCAGCCACGTTGCTGTACCGCCAAGCGCTGCAGGCGACGAAGATGCCTCCAACAGGGGAGGTGGCACAGAGCCTGGGAATGGGATGGTCTTGGGTCTTGCGGAGACGAAATGACAACCCCAAAAAGTGGGACTTCGCCATCAGAAATGTGGATTTATAAGGATTTAGCTATCAAAAATATTCAAAAATTGTGATTTATAGAGATTTATGGTGATTTAACCATCAAAAACTGGAATTTATGGGGATTACCGGGATTACCTGATGATGTAAATAGAATAGGCTCTGAGAAGGGGGGGCTGGTAGACAACTTTCCTTTTGGGACAGGTGTTTCTCAGGGCTTGTCTTAGTCTAGGGGATGGTACCGGTTGATTCAACCATCGAAGATGGAGTTAACTGGAAGCTGAGGGGATGAGAGCTCACCCATTAAAAACAAAAACCGTGGTATGCAGCATACCCCAAAAAAAGGCGCCTTTCAAATTCAAGTTTCCGGTTTGGGTCCTGCCCTATTTTGGAGCCACATCGACTTGGCAAGTTAGGCAGGCAACCCTTTGGTGATGCAATATCTCCCATAAATCGATGAGACCAGTCAAGACTAGATGTCCATTGTTGGGTTAGTTGACAGGAAAGATCTCCCAGAAAATTTGTTTTTTGAAAAAAAAAATGTTCCCCATTAAAAAGATGTGGATTTGCTGGTGCAAGCTTAGATTACTGGAGAGAGAAATATTACAGAGTGATTTGGAGCCATGGTGCAAGATTTCACGTTCTAACCTGGCGGAACGTGTCTCGGCTATACACGCAAAAAGCGACTCAGTCTAACCACCCCAAAATGAGCAGCGGTTGGGTCACTATAACGAAGTCTAGAAGCGGTTGTTGGTGGTAGATCCTACCCTCTTCTTCCCTGGGTGAGTCAGTGACCAACCTGGGTGACCAGTTGGTTTCATAGGAAAGCAGAAACCGCCTGGTAATTTTGCCATGTTTTGCGTGGTTTTTCACCATCCAAATCTCGGCGTCCATTCCGTATTTGGCACCTAAGGATCTTGGGAAATCTGCTGGGGCGAACGCCCAGTGCGTCTTGATCGCAGCTGAAAACTGGGGATGGTGGGTAAAACATGGTAAAACAACACAGCAGTGGTGGAAGATTTATGTAGCACCCCAAGTTTCAGATATAGTATGGGAAACCCCACAATAACCCTACTATGTGGGGATGTTGTCTAAGACCCATTTATTAAATGGTAATATTGGCGATGGTTTATTATTGGGTTTACCGCATTCACATTAATTGCATTGATGGAATTAATTGTTCTTGGCAAAGAGCTTGGAATTCATAGCTTTGTGCTGTTCCTCTGGAAGCTCCCACGCCTGCTCGGGCGGACAGCAGAACTTCAGGCGCAGAACTTGCTTGGAGCTGGTGATGCAGTGATGCTATTGATGAAGAAATACCTGGTCAACGGCATGCACATGAACGAGCAGAAGCTTGGCCTTTTACCATTTTTTACCATCCATGTGGCAAACCCAATGAAATCAAACATCCCCAATCGTACCAGAAATGAGTGGTACAAACAATCCCAAATTGCATGTTGACAAAAAGACTGGTAGCAAACAGGCATGTATATAAACTAATGATGTTATCAAGTAGAAGGCTATACTTTCTATGTTTCTGGCCCTCCCTTCTCACCCTCGCGCCGCAGCATGAAGATCCAACAGATCCAACGGCTGAATCTTGCCCAGCACTGCAGGATTGATCGCAATACTGGCAAGATGACATCTGCCCAAGATTTGACTTGGAACTATGCCAACGTCTCCTTGGCTGAGTCGGCACTGATCAACCCTTGGAAATTCCCTGTGACACTGTTGGGCCCCCGCAAGTCACAACACCGGGAGGCAACTGGGAACTGGGACTCGGAGCTTGTAATCCCATTTCAAGATGGGTTAAGATTGCCGGCCAACAAAAAAGATGCTGATAGATATGTGTGTGTTAGTATTGAAATTCATCAACATGATTGGTCAGGGTCTGAAACTTTGAGAAAGATCCCACGTTGAGATGGTTCTTGTGCACTCATCATTTGCCTGGGCCCACAATTGTAGGAGGGGGCCCCCGATTCCTAACAACTTCCTATACACACCTCCTGTAGGGTGGTCTTGTGGGTTGCAAGGAGTTTCTGGATCTGAGGGTTCCCTGGAGATGCCATCCTGCCATTTAGCTCAATTTAGCTGCTTAGGTCGCAATTTTTCCACATCTTTTGGATTAAATCGACCCAGTGAAGTATATATATTGTAGCTGGCAGGAATGATTGCCTCGGTCCCCAGGATGATGGCATATAATGCAATATGTTCTAGGATATTTGGGTATCTGCAATGAGGCCTCACACTCACTTGCATTGCATAATACACAATATATATATATATGTATGTATGTTTGTATGTATGCATGCATGCATGTATGTATGTATGTATGTATATGTGTAATATATATATACATACACTTGTATTATGCGTGTATATCATACATACATGGCCCATGTACCTTGGGGATGTTACCTGAACCCTCTGGAAGGGTCACGCCAAGGTCCTGAAGGCGATGAAAGCTCGCGCGGCAGCAGCAGCTGCTGCGGTGGAAAACTCGGTGCAGATCTGAGCGTGCTTGGCGCCAGTGTGGCTGAGTTGCGGTGCAGGGGAGCTCGTCCCAAAAAATGGCCTAAGTTCAGAGTTGTGGGAATAGATGTTTTGAATTTCAATGTCCTAGAAATGTTGGAGGACTTATCAGAAGAGTTTGATGAAACCTATTGACCCATTAGAACTTGATTTGACTCGTTGTTTTCGATTTGAGGGTCATGAGTCATGATGTCCCATCGATCGGTGATCCACTCGAGAGTTAGTTTTAGATCGGGTTGGTTCACCAGGAACCAGCTGCGAATTTGTTGCGACCGCGTCGCGAAGCCCCGTGCAGTGGCAACAAATGTGCCATCGATGGGGAGGAGAGAGGAGAGACCACTCTTTTTGTCGGATTCTACTTTTTCTATCTTTTTGGGAGTTGTTTTATTGCTATTTGTTCAGCTGGATGCGGGAGGACCCTCAATTTCCTAGAGTAATATCTTTGGAAAGATCTTACAATGAACTAAAACTACCGGGCGAGCATGGCCGAAGTTTATTCCACAAGACGGGATGGATTTCCCTTCTTTCACAGGGGTAGTGTTGGGACAGCGTTGGGAAACGCAACGGATCAGGATAATCAAGATTCGCACCCCCCCATAGGTCGGATGCCGGCCAGAAGCCACCGAAAAACCTAAAAACAAAGGCTTTTGCGAGGTGCATTTCGGTGAAGCTTTGAGAACCATCCTTGTTCCTTTGAGCAGCTCCAACCTCCAGAAAAATCATAGAGAAGGCATGTTTAAGAATCATGTGGTAAACCCAAAAAAATAAACCATCCCCAAAACCATCACAAATCCCCATTTCGCATCGCATTATGATGATTAGCGGTGCTAACCCATTTATGATGATTCCCCAGGTTGGAACCCAAGCCACTAATCATCATAAAATAACCCTTGGGTTCCAACCATCCCCAAACCCAGCACCGAAGCTTTCCGCCTCAGGCCATGTTTCCCAATGGTTTGCCCTCGGTGGACCCTAACCGGCCCTTGCAGTCTCAACGACGCCTACAAGAGGCCATGGGCTCTGCCAAAGGACCGGAAAATGGCGAAGATTTTGGCCTGAAAACGGGAGGATATTCCAATGAATGGTGATTTTTTATACCGAAAATATGGGAAATTGAAGAAAATGGAGGCGTCCCATTTCCGAAAAAACAAAAATCTGTGTTGTTCCTTGTTGGGTTCTATCTCGGGTTTTGGGGATGTACCAGTGTACAGTTTCAAGGGTCGCAACCTTCCAAAAGGTTGGAATTGCGATTATTGTTGAGCGTACCCAATGGATCCTGCGACTAAGATACTCAGTAATTAAAGGCCATGGTTGAAGAGATTGTAGCGGCCAATTTTTGATGATGTGTTCATTTTCAGGTCCCCTTATGATAAATTTCATTTTAGGGAGAGCGAATGGAGATATTTCCAGTTGATTGGGGAACAAAAGTGGCAATTCTCCCCAAAGGATTTATCATCTGAAAATCATGTGGCAAAGTATAACCATGCCCCATTTAGCCGCATCAGCTATGCGACTGAAAAACTAGGGCGAATAGTGTGGTTTATGACATTGGCTTGGCTATCTTGGCTCCAGGAGCAGTCAGTGCTGCGGCTGTGGTTGGCTTGAAGGAATTGCGTCCAGGCATGGATTCCATGGATTCATGCGATGTTTTTCAGCTCCATCAACTCCAATTTCTGTTGACTGGGTTGCGGCCACCTCGTGTTTTTATGTTATATTATTGAAAGTTTCAGCTTCAAATCATGGCACTGTCCTTGTAACTGTAACCCTCTTGTATCCTCTTGTCAGTCAGGTGCAGGATCCACTTGCAAACCTGCGACTAAATTGGGGTTGCCGTTTGGCTTGTTTCATCTCCCCATACGTTTTTTTTGCTAAAGGCTCAGTGGTGCTGGTTGAATTCCCGTATTGGTCATGTTGTTTGTTTGACACTTCTTGGTACAGTGTGAGCCTTAGGATATTCGGTACGGCACGTATGTACATAATTATACATATACGTATGCATATACATAAACATATACATATACGTACACAGTGTATATATATATATATGATAGTATCTTTCTTTAAGCATATACTTTCCTGAGAATCATATAAATGCATAAATCATATAAATGCATAGGATATGTTTTTAGCATGCACACAAATAAAGAATCGTCAGGCGAAGTGCCCAAAGCTGCATTAAGCCGTAGATCCTCGCCGTGCCTTGGTGTTTCCAGGATGCTGTACAGGGAGCTGGCTTCCACCATGTAATTAAGATAGTAGAGTAGAGTATAGTACCCCCAAAAAAGATGCCGAAAAGAAGTTCCAGGATGTTACAGATGAATACAGATGATACTTACATATACTTACTTCATATGTCCGGGTTTCACACTGTTCTATCGTTTTGGGGTTGCTATGATGGGGATTTACCCATTTAGTCAACAAAAAGTGTGATTTAGTTGGATATTAATCGGCCTGTAATATGATATGTTGGTGTGTCCGAAAATGAGATTTACATTGATATACCCCCCAGTTATGGCCATCAACTGTTATGGAAAATGATGATTACCCACTGGGATCTAAGGGCACACCGTGTTCAAAACCATGGGCGGTGCCAGCAGGACCACCGGAAACAATCACGTCCTACCACATCAAAATCTGAAGTCGGGGGGACCCATCATATACAGGCATGTGGTGTCTGCTGGGGTGAACTGACCCGTAGCAAGAACCCAACATGCAAACTACAAACACAAAACGAAAGCAATGCGAGTCGTGAACAGAGCCAAATGCCCTGCAACGGCGCATGCAGGCAAAATAGATAACAACAAGGAGGCGGACATCCCGGACGACTAGTAACCAGGCCTTTCCTAAGGAAACGCTCCGCCACAAAATAAAAGCCAAACGGCCAACCGCAAATAACAAACAGGCAGGCAGCAGCTCATCCCGCTAAAAGGAAAACACAAGGCCCCACCCACACGACCTCCTCAGCTTCGTGGGACCAAGCCGGCGACCATTAGCTTCCCTATTGGAGACCAACTGGAGATGATTTGTGCATCCTCAGTTGCAAGAAACCCCATATTGGACTATAAGGTTGTAAGTTGTTGTGTATATTACAATACTGAAATATCTCGTGCAACATAAAATACCATCAAAAATCATTATAGAAAACAGGAACATAATGAGCAATTATGACTAAAAATATGTCGAAATCAATTTGCCATTGTTCACCGTGTGTCAATAATTTTGTTCCTATTGTGCTGTAATATTGTCTATAACACATAATATTCATACAAATGGCCAACTAAATATTGGACAACCGTGTATTGCATATTATTGTGCTATGTTTGGATTTTTCTGAGTGCCCACTGCCCCTACAACAAGAAGCCCAGGCTTTGCCAAACGTTTGACTCAAACTTTTCCAGCAACGGCGGGGGTCCAGTGTGTTTCAAGGCTTGAGGCCCAACGCGAAACGAAATCCGGCGCCGTGAGTTTCAAGAAACTGGAGAGCAACTCGGAGATTTGTGCTTTGCTGATGTTTTTTCAACACAGCTATTGGAAAATACCCCATAGAGAGTAGATGATGTATGAGGATTGACCGAACAGAAAAATGGGTGATGTGAAGCAAATTCACATGGACGATGGCACTGTTTTTTCGGGAGTTGAACTGTGAGACCGGAGACCATGTTTATGGGGAAATGCCCCATACATAAATGGAGCTTTAAACTGATGACTTCTAAATTGGGCTGATTGGGTTGCAATATCATCCATATAATCTCCAGAAAAGTCAGCATCAAAAGGGAGGGAATCGCTTTGGGTGTTTTTGTTGGAGAAACGTGCATCTATATATGTTTGCCAACTTCGGTAGAGAATCATGTTCCCTTCGGATTTTGTTCACATGTTTTTCACGTTCAACCCACTTTTAAGGATTTGGGATTACCCCCGCTAGATCTTTTCTCCAACTCAACTACCCTCGGGTTATTCCAGTAGTCACCATGTATCATCATTACAATTCATCATTAACCACTATTCGACCATTGATTCACCACTATCAACCATCAATCATCATTCATTCACCATCATTAAGCATTAATCACCAGTATTACCTTCTGCTAATTTACCTATTCACAATGGTGATCTTCCAGTTCGCAAACTGTTTGTTTACCAGAGGGTAACCATCATTAACCAGTATTAACCATCATTAACCATGATTAATTCATGATTCACCAGTATTTAACCATCATTAACCATGATTTACCATGATTTTCCTATGTGTTTTCCCATGGTTCACCATGTTTTTGTTCCCCCTGAGGCGACTTCGGTCGCAAGGCTGCCAGCATGTTGGCCGCCGCAGTGGATCCGCGGAAGGACCTGGTGAGACAACAGCGGTCCCGCTTCGAGAGCGTGCCTTGCGGAAATCCCTTAGAAACAACGAGAAATCCATGGGAAAACCATGGGAAATCCCCTATAAACAATGGGGATTTATTGAAAAATCGTGGACATATATGGGAAAATCACTGGTGAAAATTGTGGATTCGCGGTTGATCAATGATCTTCTTTTTTTTGTGGGAAATCCACTAAGGGAATCTATGGGGAATATGCTCTAGGTTTGAGAAACGGGTTTTCCAGGCGGCCGAGCTGGAGCATTCGGCCAAGCGCATGCGGCGCCTCAACGAGTTGGAGCAGATGGATGCAGCGCAGGAGCAGATGGAGGAACTGAAAAAGATGAAGGCCAGGGGCAGATGGTGGCCATCCCACCAACCATTGGGGAGTATGATAAATCATCACATTTCTGGGGGTATACCATGGTGCCAACAAAAAACCTCTATTGGGGATGGTCTACTGCTGGGTTTGCCACATTGCCACGGTGGCATGTTCGAGAATGAGGCTGTTTGAGGATTACAGTCGGGCTTCTCTTGGAGTTGAGAGCTGCCGGATGCCAGGTGCGAGCGTATCGGTGCAAGAATCTTGGAACTTGGAACATGTTGCTGCCTTTTGCACTGGTGTGGCCTCAAAATCAGCGTGATTTTCACCATTGATGCTTGGGGTATGCAGAGGAAAAGTATTACCATTTGGTGGTTGTAAAGTTGTACATGTCAATTTTCCAGCTGGGCAAGGTTTTGGGAGGAAAAAACATTGGCACCATCCTGGCACTTTAGCACCCAGCGACAAAAAAAGAAAATGTGTGTGACAGGGGTGAACTGATCCATATCCAGTATATAACCCCCAAAAAGATAGAAAAGTAAGTTTCCACTGTTTTTGTAGGAGTTTGTTTTCCTATGTTCTTTGGGGATGCTATAACTTACACAATCACTATGACAAATTCGTTCATTTCAAACATCATCCAAGCACTTGCAGGATGAGCCATCTCGGCAATGGCCAAGGGTTAAAATTCGCGGTGAGACCCGTTCAGCACCACTCAGTAGTCATACCTTCAATTCTTACTTTAGACCCCTTCTTTAAGGGACCTACTGCCATTTTTAGGTAGGTTGGATCCATTTTTCTAACACAAACAGATGTCATAGGTGAAATCAATTGAAATCACGTGGTGTTTTATAAAGTCAAGCCACCCCAAGGACAGTTGCCTTCTTCTGCCTCCCCCATGTGGGCACAAGCCGAAGAATTCCTTCGGCCCCCAGGACCTGTTACACGACCTTCGACTCGGAGCGGCAGCGTTTGCGATGCCAGGCTAGTCATCGATGGGATCTTTACCCCAAAGATTGGCCATGTGTGCATGTTTGTTGGCGATTCTGATGGGAGTATAAGCTACTGATAGCAGCTACTGTACATTACTGTACATGACTGAACTGTAGTTTTTGCAGGGTATGTGAGAAATGTGAGGATGAAGCATGCGGGTTTTAGCCTCGAATTTTGATGTTTCATCAACTAGTATGATTTGTTTGACGGCAGGAAAAGCTTTCGAATACTTGGACCCTGATTGTTTGACGTCTCTCAGGGACCAGCTGCGAGTTGCCTGTCAGTG